GCTATAGCCCTGATCGAAATAATGAGCAGGTTTCTGGCAGCGCGGTGATTGTTCTGCGGGAAGGAGACACAGTGTATTTGACCATATACGGTATGGCGTATAGTCATTCAAGAGAGCCTTTCATTTCGTTCAGTGGTTTCCTCCTTTCGGCAGAATAAACAAAGAGTAACCACAGAATAAATGTATACCAGTTGCACACTTGTTGCAGGATTGGTAATCGCTAAATACTGTCAGCTCTCATCAAAAATATTGCTCATAACAAAACACTGTTGGCCTGAGTATGTTCTGAAGTCCACGGTCTCGGGATTCTTTTTCAAGATTGGTTATTAACCCATCCCGTTAGCCTTAACGTTTACAGTAAATTAAGCAATTATTTAAGGTGTGATTAGTGGTTTCAAAACTGTAGTGAAACAGCCCACTTTGTTATCGTGTAGCAATATTTAGAAAATTATCTCACTTGTACTTTTGGAGGAAATCCCCTGCTTCTCCTCGTGCCAGTTACAATGCACTGGGTTTTATACATGGCTGCAAAGACGACAATGGCTTTTAAATTTAGAGGACATGTGACTTACGCAAACTGCAATTAAAGGGCTGGATAGAAAACAAAAACAAAACAGAATCCCCTCACATTAAAAACTTCATGTTCATTCCAAACATTTGTGGCAAGTCCATTACATATTTTACAGTGTCCAGTTTTCTCTGACTTACACTGTAGAACGTTTAAAACGTTTAAAACTGTGAAACAACTGAGAAAAGTAGATAAGTCTTGAAGGTTTGCATGGTGAAGAGGTATAATAGAAAGTAGGTTTGAGGTAGCACCATGGACGTATCTCTTTTGTGAGTATTTGCGGTTCTGAAAAAGGCCAGATGATGACGAGCAGAGCATACTGCTCGAAACGTCGATTACCACTGGTTCTTTTCAGAACCGCAGATACTCACAAAAGAGATACGTCCATGGTGCTACCGCAAACCTACTTTCTATTATAACTGAGAAAAGTGTTTACAATTATTGTTGGTAGTTTTATTATTATCTGAAACAGCCAGAAAAATTTTGAGTCGTAGAAAGTAAATGTTCAACATGGGTACGTCAAAACAAAGGTTAAATTTTCAAAATGGGCATGAGTTATAAAAGGTTTTTCGTATCTAATTTTTAGAAATTTCATGTGTGAATTTACAAATGTGAATATCTTCAGTACTTGAAAGTGTCTTAATCCTAAAGAACCAGGGGATGGAAGCGCCCCTTTGATGTTTTTCCCGATATCGCCGCAGTGTATTTTTTTTCAGGGGCTGGGCCTTTGGGACTTTTTGGGCCACTCTTTCAAGTCACTTTTTATTAAAATCGGACATATTATTTTTGCGCACCGCGCATTTTTCCGAGCCAGGTCAGCCAAAAATGCACTTTTCCTCTGTGGTGCTTAATATACGCGGGCTGGCACGCATGTAGACCTGAAGTTAAAATCATAACAAAACTATACGCTTGATTTAATTCAAAATTGACAGTTGCAATGATAAGGAGTGTCCGTACATGCGTGCCTAGTTTCAAAAAAATCGAGAGTGGCACAGGGAAGTTCTTAGGGGATCCCCCCGGCTTTGAGATGGGCCAAAAATTACCCGGCCCTTTGAAGGTTAATTAATTAAGTAAATAAAGTCGAAAATTGGAAACGCAGATTTATTTCTGTCAAAATTGTATATACTTTTATTCCGATTTTGGTGAGATTTTTAGTAAAGAAAGTTGTAGCCCCAGTTTCCAAGACAATCAAATGTCAAACAAACCATGGCTGAGCCTGATCAGGCAGGAGGTAGTTGCCCTGAGAGGTAAAAGAGAATTTTGTCTCCTAAAACAAGGCAGACAACCTTGCTTGTAAATTCTTAACGGGTTACTTCTGTCTGTCTGTCGGTCGGTCGGTCGGGCTGTCTGTCTGTCATGACATTGGACGTATAGCACTTCATGCTATGAGTCTTGTTAGATAGGTGAACTTAATAGTTCAATGAAAGGGGTGAACTACTTCATACTAAATGCATGCAGCCGAGGCACTTCTTATTATGAATGCCATTCCTCCATTTTGGAATAGTGTTTGATTGAGCCACCTCGATGGCTTTGGTTTGTTGCTTTTCGGGCACAACACGAAACTGACTATGCCGTATATATCGTCAACAAAAAAATAATTAACATCATAATCATTCCACAAACTAAGTCACTAGGGTCAATTTAAAGCAACTTACGAACGGAATTTAAAAAGTAACGACCTCACATTAATAATTTTGAGCACGTAATTAAGTTTCTAGTTAGTTTGTACTTAAAAGTATGTTTAGAAGAAGAATAGTAAACATTTATAGCAAAAGAAATTTGGACTTTTAATTTAGAATTGTATCTTTATGAATTTTGCACAAAAGTATATTTTTGTTCGTAACTGGTTTTGCCCTTACACTGAAGTATATTCATAAAACGGTACGATCAGTGTTTGTCATCCGATATATCTTGCAAAAAAGTCACAAGCTTACTCGGGTGGGACTAGAACCCACGACCTCCTTTTTACTGTTGCAGATGTCTGCACAAACCCGTCATGAGGGAAAAAAATAACGTTTCCCTGAAACAAAGTACATTGTTTGTAGTACCCGCTCCATCAGACTCGGACCAGCCAGTCCACCCTGGCGAGCTATTGGGCAAACACTGAGCCTTCAGTGTTACCGGTATGAATATGCGTCGTTGTAAGGGCAGAACCCATTATGGAAAAAAATTAACGTCTTCCCGACGCTGCAAGTACATCTTGAAATACAAAAATATATTTACGTGTAAACGATGCTTAATAAACCGTGTAATCACTCAACAAATAAGTACTGCATAAAATTGTCGTTATTTATGCTGTAACTCGGAGGTCGAATGGGGCCACAAATACCTAGATTTGTCCAAAACATAATGAAACTTAAAATCAGCATTTTATGTATTAATGGACGTGAAAGCTATACCTTAATTGGTAAGCATGCCTGTAACCGAAGGATTTTGTCTCAGATGCCGACCTGCACTTTCTACTTTGTATACTTCAATAAGTGGAGTTCCAGCAACAGTTTGTGGTATCGTTTTTTCAATGGAAGTTGCCCAACACAAGGCCCCAGGAGGCCTCTCAAGGTGAAGGATAAATAACAAAGTTTAAGAAGAGAACGAACAGCATAAGACGATTAAAAGGAAGAAAGGTAACTGTTGCTGTTTCATTTGAACTTACACTGTGACTGTTTGAAAAAAGGATAGAATTTAGCCTTGATTAGACAATGTTCTGAATTACCCAAAAAGTAGCGTCAAAGATATCCAGATTCTAATCAGAATTGCCCCATCGATCACCCAGACAGTGCCAAGGTCGTAAAACTAACGACTTGGACTTGTTACGGTACTTCAGTAACACGGGAGGGGGGTAGGCTCTTAACCCTTGAAACTTGGGAATAAAGATAAATTAAGGACCCCCCCGGAAGCAAAGCTATAGGAGGGTCGGCCACAAGAGCCAGGAATTAACAACGTGCTTGCCATGGAGGTTTTCCTACCAGTTTGTAGTCAGTAAAAAGCAACCTCATCCTCCCTTGCCGGTATAAACTTCACTCTTTGCTTGGCGGTTGGTTCTACCATCAATGTCCAATGATGATGGCATTCGACCAACACACTTGCTCGAACAGTTTTATCACTAACCACCATCGTACCCTAAAATTCCTACTCCCAACAAAGACCTATTTAAGATCCTCAAGAGTCAACCTAGTCGTCTCGTGAAATTCTCCGCGAGGAGATTGGTGGTAATTAAGGAGACAACCGATCACACTTGACCCCAGATAATTGAAAAGAGGGTGATTTAACAGGAGAGGTGAGCAGGGGAAAGCAAAGTAACACCAAAGAGCAGCTATAATGTAGACCTTAATGTACCGCTCTTGAACTATCATTTTGCTTCAGGTTTGAAGTCATGTCGCCCGTTTTCCGATCCCCGTTTAAAAAACAAGGCCTCGGCACAATCAGAGTGTGGTAATTAAATATCATTGATCACGTGTCTTCGGCGATATATTTCAAATCATTGGTTATCTTGGTCAATTTTGGATGAACGAATAAAGTGTAGTGAGAATATTTTCAGCAATTATGAGGAAGAAAAAGTAAAAAAAAAAATCGAAATGATAACCGCCGCTTGTGTAGCTCATTGAGCGAGCTCGCGCGTCCAGGCAGAAATTTACCCACAATTAAATTAATGCTCCGTGCGTCGTTAGCTGTGAGCCCTTGTGACGTATTTCCTTCACTAAAATCCGTGCAGGGTCATCAGCCCTTCGGGGCGCCCTTTTCAGGCGATTGGCGACAAGCGACGGGCACCATCGGTAAATCCAATATGCTTGGGGGCTTTTTAATTACGCGCTTTTTTGGAATGAGGGAAATGAAAAGTTAAAAACCACCCCTATATCTCATAACTCCCACAAACAACTTTGTAGTCCTTTTGAGACGCCATAGCCCTTATTATACCCCGGTCTGCCCTGACTTGCATTTCTAGTCCTCTGGTGAGACAAAACACTATTTCCGCTGTTTCGAAATTCGTGAGGCACGATATATATTTTACCGCTTTACCCGTTCATCCAAAAGTACCACCCTCACCATGTGGCTACGCCAAATGAGCAGAGACATGGCTATCAGATCAAATCAAGGAATAACCGTCTACAAACTGTATTAAGAGTGGTTACGTAACCCTTTGTTAATGACTTTTTGTAGGATGGAAACTCTTAAAAAACAATTATTCGATAATTCTAACACGTACCTCCGTCACTGCAAAAGTTAGGCATAAATAAAATGTCTCGTAGCTTCATTCAGTCTTTCAAAATTTGGCCAATGAGAGCTCCAAGTCAATTGCCTTTTCTAGCCCCCTGTGCTGTGTGGGTGCTGCGGGAGACAAACGAACTTAGTTCCACGATAACCTTTTGTTACGTATGCAGCGCATGTCCTTTTTTATGCTCCGTATTTCCCACACGTGCGCCCTCTATTTTTTGTATTTTGTACAATCGGCCGACAAGCCCGATGACATTAGCTGAGTCATCGAACCAGAATTCGGGAGAACTTAGTGGTCGTAAGTCAACACAACAGTGACCTGCACCTTCGTGTAGTTTGAAAGGTAAAACTTCTCTTATTCTTAATCCCCCCCCATAAAATCACCGGAAATCTTACTTCCTTTGGTGATTGTAAATTTGGCGACCCTGCCCTAGAAATGTGTGATGTTACTCGTTCACCCGATGGGAGAGCTGGGGCCGGGGCCGTTTTCCAATAATCGACTTCGGCTCCGTCTCGGGCTTCCACTGTTTTTTACAAGGCCTACCTAATTTTGATGTTGTAAGCGCAATAGTGCCACAGAACATCGAGTAAGATTCAAAAGAGCCAAACACCGCAGTTCTTCAATTTAATTGAAACACTTCAGGCCCACATTCATCATATTATCATGACAATCGGGGATTAGTTTTGAACTTCAGCATGTTGAAGATGAAGCCTGAGAGATGGAGACGAAGTTGAGTACTATTTTTCATTTCATTTTATTTATTATTTCTCAGGGTACAAAAACCAGCTCAAAATACAAAAACCGATACATACAGTGTATCAATATATAAGAACAATATTTGCTGACACCCCTGACTGATAGCCTAAAACTTAAAAGCAAACTCAATCACTGTCGAGAGGGTCTCCATAAAAATGTCAACAAATACAAGAAAAACACTCGGTAAAAAATGACTAAAAATACAAAAATGCACAAAAGTAAAACTAGATAAATAAACAATGGAATGTACATTTCTGAATGAAGCCACCCCCCTATAGACTGGCAATTTGGGGCTTCCTGTGAAAGAAATACCCCGAACTGGAAACTATCAGTCCCAAATTCGGGATTTATAGAAATATTTCTATGATGCCTTCTGAGTATGGCATGTCATACAAGAAAAACGCTAGATGAAAAATGACTTAAAATACAAAAATGCACAAAAATAAAACTAGAGAAATAAACAATGGAATGTGCAGTAAAAATACAGTATCAATATTATGGCATCAAACAATGTTAGCCTCAGGAGATAGCCAATGGTCTCTTAACTTTGAAATAAAAGAATTAAGACTGAAAACAATTTCTGTTGTGACATCTATGGGTAAAGTATCCCACAATCTTGGGAATCTAACAAATTTTTAACCACTACCAGCCGGGGACTTCGAAATCGGAGCCGTATGGTTTATATGTGTGGCCGGGGTCTCTGAACTCGGACAAAGGAAACAGGGCCCTGTAACAAAAGACCGTACTCCGAACAAAAGACCAGGCTGCTGGGCATGACCGGCATTTACCGGGGACTGTACACATTCTGATATTCACTCACTAAAGAACATGAAGATATTCTGATCTGTCACTGATCGAGTACAGGTGGGCCTTACAGAAACTTACAGCCTTACAGCTTCTGGATGTAGTAAGCTCTGCCCTGTCCATCCTGTGGCGATTTCAGAAGAGAGCCATTTCACAGCCCTGTGAGGCTGTATGTAGGGCTGTGTGTATTCATGTACATGTACATAGGTACTCTATCATGCCTTTCTGCTACTTCTAGAACTTTAACCTTGTAAGATTCGTAAAAACATGTACCTATCACAAAGCTCCCCTCTAGTGCTAGTGATTGGCATTGAGACTGGTCGTTCCATCTCTTGGGAGAGGCTGAACGACCAAGCCCAAATTGAAGTCAGCACAGTCGGTGCCTTGGCCTGGGGAACAAATTAATGGAACATCGATGTGACTGAGTGACACTGTGACCACAATATTCAGTTCAGTTACCAGATTACCATCAAACATGGAGCAACTATGCTTCAGAAATAACATTCAAAAGTCTGTCAAATACAGATGTAGCTCGGAGAGGTGTTGTCAGTTTATGATTTTGGATATGTTTATTGTTGGGAGATAGGTGAAGCACGGTGGAGGATTTTGAAGGATTTTCAGATGTGTGTTACAAAAATGTCCAGAGAGTTAGTTTTCGTTAGGATTCAGAGAGGTTAATACTCAGAACTTCCTGTCTGAATGCCCACTGGGAAAGACTGTTGCATCATGATGCAACCTCCTGGGTCAGAGACACAATCTATCGACAGAACAACATTATTAAAGTACTTACTAACAAAATTGAAAATATTTCTTATTTTCAGATTCAAGTCTTTTCAACAATAAACTGACCTTCAGTAAGATTTTTCATGGAGGAAGAAGTGGCATGGTGATGCTCCATCCTTTCCGTCGAGTGCTCCTAAAGGTCAGAAGCATGCAGCTGGCATCGGACATACATGTAGCAAGCTCAGCACAGAATACCTGGCTCCCTGAGACTGAGCAGGTGTATACCCAGCTCCGAGCCCGGGCAGAGCGAGGCGGCTGGGAGCAAATCAGGAACACCAACACAGACCCCAAACCCTCCCGGTATCTCTTTTCAAGAGTCAGAACGGAAAATGGTTGTGTGATCCACTACGCTTTGTTCGTACAGAAAGATGAGAAAAAGATGATGGGTGTTTGCCAGTTCGGAGAGGAGGCCCAGGGACCCAAGGGGTGAGATTTTGACTCCTCTAAATGACCCTGTTCCCCAAGAAAACATCAAGATATCTGTGATTAGAAACTGGCTTCAGTGCCCACTCGGTATTGAGGATGTTTTAGGACACTCCTGTATTGTCTCTGAAAAACAAAGAAGTGATGCAGTTCCTTATTTTCGGATTGGCAAACTTGTGCATTGTAAAAAAGGGTACTAAAAGTCTAGTTTTGGCAGAAATGTAACCTTATTTGCTCTTTGCACGCTGCCACCATAGGCAAGCAGAGCCTCAAACTGGCAGCTTGTTCAATCACGTCAGAACAGTGTCAGCGCAGCTTTTTGAAATATTGTCCAATCGCATGGTGTTATAAAGAACTAACGCAGTACGCACAAAGTTACTAAGCAGCATACACGTGAATCACTGAACCGGCTATATTTATCATGTAAAGCTGCCAGATGAAGGCTCTGCCCGCCTACATGTATGGAGGCAGCGTGCAGAGAGCGAAGAATAGCCCGAAGAATACTGCATTATGGTAGGGTAATAATAAACACAAGAAGAGAGTTTCACTATATCACCTTAGGTTTACTCTCCACTGGAATAACTGGAGATGCTTTTTAATGGATGATTTCAGTTCGATGGTGAGAAAATGCCAAACTTTAAGGAATCAGCCAGTTAATCCCTCCTTTGAAAGAAGTTGAATGTATTCAGCCTCTCAAAAGATGCTGCTAAAGTAGGCGGTTAAAAGTTCAATGATGCAGTATTTTTAGTTGAGTAAGTGAAACCAAAACATTGTGTTACATCAGCATGGTATGTTCAAAAGTTTTCCGTTGTACGGTTGATAATCAGTGCTGTGATTCATGTTTGATTTTGTCAAACTGTCGTCATTTCCATTGAATGTACATGATCACTAAGGTTATTCAGTGGAATTCATTATTAGCCTTAATCACAAAATCCTGAAAGGGACTTCGCTTGCACAGCATACAG